CGTATCGGTTACCGCGAGATTCCTGTTCATTTCGTGGGTTATTGTATCTGTTTCCTTGGTATGGGCGGTTATTTCTACTCTGATTTTCCCGATCCCTGTTTTCATTCCATCTCTGGGTTCTGGGTTCATAATTCTCTCTTCCGTTCGGTCTATTTTCGTATCCCCGTCTAGGTATGAATTCTCGTCTTGTATAATCTCTTCTAAAATTTTTACCTCTATCTCTATATTCTTGGTTTTCTCTTTGTCTATAATTTTCTTGCGGTCTTCTTTCTCTTCTTTCATGCCTACGTGATTCTCTCATTTGCAAAAATTGACATAAGCTGTCAATGTCCTTGTAATTTTGGAGATTTATGTGGTCTTCCAAGGTCTCTTCAAAGTGTCGCGATATCAACTCTACCAATTGTTCTGATGAATAATTATATTGCAAATGTTTTGCATTATTATAGAGTTGTAATGCGTACATCTTTTCTGATACGCCCATCCTCTCATGGTATTTTCCATTTTGTAACTCTTTATTTACTTGTAGTTGCTGGATTTTTCCCCAGAAATAATTTAAGAATCTTCTCTCAAAATCTTGCCAATTGTCAAATTCTTCTTCCTTGCTGACAAACCAAAGATTTGCCTCTTCTTTGAGATGGTTTCGGATGGTTTCCTTTGCTGTTGCAAACGGTCCTACGTATGTAACTTTTTTCTTTAGGTTATTTATAAAAGGCACTGGGTTGTAGTTTCCTTATATCCCCGCCAAATCGTACTTTTACGTCTTCTGTGCTATGTACGATAACTTCCTTTCTTTCTACTCCTCTTATCTCCATCTCTGCAATTTGTTTTTCATTTTGCTTAAGTTTCCTTTCCATTTCTTTCCTGTCTTCTAGTAACGCCATTTCAAATTTTTCTTCTAACTGTTCCAGTTCCTTTTTATGGACAGCCTTCATATCCTTCATTTTAGTTTCCATTTCTTCTCTCTGCATCTCTAGTTTTCTCTCTGTTTCACTAACTTTTTCTAAACAGACTTTTACTTCATTTTCATATTTGTCCAAACGCTTTTCCATTTTTCTATCAATTTCTTCTAATTTCTGTTCTATTGCTTGTCTTGTTTTCCGTTGGTTTTCTTCGAGTTTTAGTGATGTTTCCTTTTGGTTCTCTTGTATTTGTTGTGTCTGTAATTGCATCATTGCTAATAATTTTTCTAACATCCCTGTTTCTTTTCTTTCCTCTATTATTGTAACATTTCCTTCATTATCCGATCCTTCTTCAAACATTGTTTCCTCTTCTCTGTTATCCTCCTTCCTTTCTTGCATTTTGCTTTGACTCCTTGTAGTCGACATGTTGTTTTTGTCCCCGCCAAATATAAAATTCTACTGGTCTGTTGCAACAAACGGGACTTTTCTTGTTCAAATGTAATAACTCTTGAGTACGAGTATCAAATTTCAATATCCCACAAATAAATCAAATGGTAAAATATCAAATGTCAAAATCAATCAAATAAATCAAGTATGGTAAAATTATCAAATGTAAATATCACACAAATAAATCAATTATGGTAACCTCTAAATTGTCAATATCAAGAATAAATTAAATATGGTAAATTGTATCTTAAAAAAAAAAATATAAATCTTCAGTGTCCTCAAATTTTACATAATATTTCACTTTATCCACGGCATATAAACTTTCAAATATCTGCTCGTCTACTCCTATCCTTTCAAATTTGCCAACTAGAAATATTTTTCAAAGCTTTACACGTTGGGGGCCATTTTGTTAAGCTATTTAAATTGTATTCTATTGCTTATTTAGAAAAGATCCTGTCTATATTTATTAAATGATCTAATCTCCAATTAATCACAATAAATCAGCATTAATTAATTACAATCTCAGGCTATTTAACTTGTACTATTTACCTTTGATCGTGGATTCAAAATATTTTCCAATTGGCTTCCTAATTGGGATAGGTAATATGACCTGAATAAAATACACAGAATTTCAACTGAAGTATATGTGAGATGTCCTTTATTTTATTGAAATTTTATATAACAATCAATCCGGTAATATTTGCAATACAATACTTTAAATATATGAGAAGTTGTTTTCTATCATGGACCCAAATGTTATTTTACATTGATTTTTAATATGTGTTATAACTAAGCTCTCTTTATAATTTTTTTTTTTAAATGATCGCAAAATTAACTGTCTCTATTATTTATTCAATTTATTTAATTTATAAATGAAAACCACACTCCTGCTCTAATGAAAATTGACTGACCTTTCGTTATCTGCCGTTGCAATTCTATGGCCACGCCATAAAAAAAAACCTTTCTCTGCTTCTGCTCCTATTTTGGTCCAGAAGACGTACACCTTTCTCCTATCTGTCCTTGTATCTGCAACCCAACAACTCGTGTAATTCTATGCAGCCTCCTTTTGAACCAATCTCCGCGCCTGTTTATAACTTCAAATGTTTCCGGCTTCGTCTGATATTAATATTCTTATACCCTTTGGTTTTTTCTATCTCTCTGTACCCCGTTCCTCACACTGATCAGCTTTTACACAGCAAATAAACACACCCGGTAAATTACGTCTTCGGGACTTCAAACAAACACAAACCACAAAGCTCCTTCCTTCTTGGGCGACGAAAACTGACTAACTCCCTTCCTCTCTCCTATCTCATAGCTAAAACCACTCCCTCCTTGCATTCAAAAATTGACCAATAAAAATCTTCTACCCCTGTCACGTATATCGTTACCAACCAACTCTCTCTATAAAACGTCATTCGGGTAATTCCAGAAAACAACATTCTTTAATTATTCTAGCTAAATCTATCTGCTTTACAAATATTTCTTACTAATAGCTACAAACGATACCTGTTTCTCAATTCAATGTCTTTTGTTAATAAACTTTTACCGATATAATCTTTCGGGGGGAAAAACCACCGCACATCCCTTTCTATTGTTTAAACACTTTCTATATACACTTTTATTACGGGTAAATCCATTCCACAATAACCGACTTATTTAAATTTCTTATCGATAATATTTGAAAGTCTTGTCTCTGAGGCCTAATGAACAATTCTTCGAACAACTTAAAATACATATTTTGTCTTATACAGGATGTTTGAAAATTTATATGCCCGTGTCTTTATGAAATATCAATAATTTTAATTTTTATTTAAGTAATAAAATTTGTAGATCGGTTTTTTATTGCTTATGGACATTCAAAAGTACAACAATATATATATATATATATATATATATATATATATATATACATATTTTTTTTAATTTGTAATTAATAATGTGACAATATTTGCTCAATCATGTTTAAAGATTTATGCAAATAAAAATTTACTCTACTCTACTCTACTCTTGCCAGCTTGCATGTACCTGTGCCCAATTGTCTGACCTTCTCAACTTCTTCTTACCAGGGTGTTTGTTATTTTCATTCCATGGTCCTGGTTTAGGTAGTTCAGGTGCTACTTCGGATTCCCTGTCACTGTCACTAGATTCAGGCTGGTATGTAGAATCTGCATCTGAGTCATCTGAAAAAATAAGACATGCACTAGTTTTATCTGATAATAATCTGATTCATAGCCTTTATAAACACAAACTATAGGCTTTACACTTACAGCTAAAGAGGTTATATTGAGACTCCTGTTCTTCTTCAGCTACAATACTTGTTTAGGATTAAACTTAAGAGGTCACTGGCTAAATGATATTGGATAAATAATTATAAAGAAAAATGCCATATTTGTTTGTTCATAAAATTAGCGAAAATAGCAACTATGAATTGTAAATAAATTACGAAATTAACTGGTCTTACTCATTAATGTTGTTTTGTACAAAGCACATAGACTTACCCTCTGTAGATATTGATTTCATAAGATTCTTAGCCAGGGGAATGTCGCTGGCCCACGTCGGGACGCCCGCCTCGGAGGCACGAGAACTCATTGTGCTTCTTTCATTGCCTTGGTCTGAAGTGCATGTCTTGAGAGTCTTAAGATCGTCACTAGGGCAAAAACCACCCTCTAAATGTTGGGTGGTCAACATCTCGTAGGCCAGGGCATGCCATAAATCAACCCTATTGTCGGATGATTTTGAATGGCGATAATTTAAAGTTATTTAAAGTATTGTTACAGTAATACTTGTTTCAATCTTTGTGACACAGAATACAAAGGAAAAAGCCAAATTCTGCGTACTTCAACATGATGAATGAGATAGCCGATTTAAGTTTTACGAAATAACAGGAAATAATATATTTTAAAAAGGTCTTTAGAATGCAGCATTAAATTAGATCACATTACAGTACTGTAACAGAAAAATATTAAATGTAAAAATATTAAAAGAATTCGTTCATACTTTCCTAAACAATACTTGTGATGTCCATTTCGATTAAGGTAGCAAAACTTTGGTTACTTTACTCTTAAAGAAGCCAACTATCGTAGAATAATATGGGTAAAGTTTGAATTAAAAGATACGACAGCAACAGTGTCGACAAGTATGTACAACATTCAACAACAAACAACTCTGATGACAATTAGTTGGAGGCCAAGGGATACAAATGGCACTTGTACCTCTTGATTCCTCAGGAAAACAGATGATATTTGAGGTAGTACTTATACCATCGGCTAGATTGCAGCACTGTACAGTGATACTACTACTACTACTTAACTCTATTTTGTTTAAAATTGCACTTGAACCCTTTGGCTTCTAGGTTCCTCATTTTCAAAATACATTTTTTGAAATTTTTTTAACCTAACGCTTTATAAGAGCCAGTACACCATACCCAGTGTAATAACCTAATGATTCATTAGAACAACTAGTTCAGCCAGGGGTTGGGATATTTTTTGCTTCATTTGGGTGATTAGTGTGTTAAGAAAAAAAGATTAGGCATAAGAATATGAGAAAAGTTGACTCCAAATTAAATAATTTTCTCAAGTGTTTTAAATTCTCAGTTAAACTTAGTTAAAATAATAATAATAAAGACAAAAATCATTGTATTGTCCATTTTTCTAGATCTACTGCACATAAAAGAACGTGAAATCGCTGCACTATCTGGAGGAGAACTTCAAAGATTTGCCTGTGCCATGGTATGTATCCAAAATGGAGACATATTCATGTTTGATGAGCCTTCATCCTATCTAGACGTCAAACAACGTTTGAATGCTGCCAGAACTATCAGATCACTACTACATCCTAGCAAGTAAGTATTTAAACTAAGTTCTTCTCTGACATTCTTTATCAATCTACATTGATGAAGTGACTAAGAGCAATCAGATAAAAAATTTCATGAAAATAAAAGATGTTGTCTATTAATTATTATCTTTTTGGTCTTCCAGATTCATTATTGTGGTGGAGCATGACTTGAGTGTTCTTGACTATCTCTCTGATTTCATTTGCTGTCTTTATGGAGTGCCTGGTGCTTATGGTGTAGTAACTATGCCTTTCTCTGTCCGTGAAGGTATATTAAATTATCATTTTGTTTATATGATACAATTAAAGTTTAGCTTTACATATAATAACTATTCTCCACTCAATAAGTAATTTTTAATAATTTCTGTATCAATTTGTAGGTATCAACATTTTCTTGGACGGTTTTGTGCCAACAGAAAATCTCCGTTTCCGAGATGAATCTTTAGTTTTTAAAGTAGCAGAGTCAGCTACAGAGGAAGAAATCAAACGTATGAACCATTACGAGTACCCAACTATGACAAAAACGATGGGTAGTTTTGAGTTGAAGGTTTGTCAGGGACAGTTTTCTGATTCTGAAATTTTGGTGCTCTTGGGCGAGAATGGTACTGGAAAGACTACTTTTATTAGAATGTTGGCTGGCAATTTGGAGCCTGATACTGGATCAGGTAATTTTTTAATTTATTTCCTCATATTTTTCTACATATATCCTCAATATCTTTGAATTTAACAAAATTTATCAATTGAAATAAAAATTTTGTATTTATATTCAGTATTTTTGTAATTATAAAGTGATTTAAATTCAAGTAAATCAATCTGCGAACTGAGAATCAAGCTGTGAATACCATATAGGAAGTATTGTGATTATGTTTTTTTATATAAACGATTTATAAGAATAAAGAACTTGAAATAGGCAATCTAATATGTACAAAACTTTTGGATAAACTGCTTTTATTAGTAAACTTATGTTACAATTTACTGCTGTACTACTGATCGAGGGAAAGTAAGGCGTTTGAGTGAAATTGATAAGAAAATGAGGATCTGCGATTGATCTTCCTATCTATTTTTACAGTACATTGATAAGAAGATCTTTATATTAAATAGGTAAAGAAATAATAAATAAGACTTACTCACAATCAATTTAATTTAACTATCAGACGACCGGTTTCGCTTTCTACAATATGCAAAGCATCCTCAGGTCTCGATACAAAGTTAAACAAATGCTGAAATAATTAAAACCCATATTAGGGTGTTGTCTAATAACGATAAACAAAGTAGGTGTTGTAAATTACAATAATTATGCCAATATTACATGTCTTTGGTTTTATTTAAATGAGTAAGTTGAATAAAAAGGTATAAAATTTTTAAAAAAGTTTTGTATTGTTTTTAAAAAAGTATTGTCATAAAACTGTCACCTTCAAAAAAACAAAAAAAAACAATTACTCAATAAATAACACACATTTCAAAAATATATCTCTGGAATAAGTATAAATAGCCTTTAATACAACAATAGTATATTACATCACTTACATTTAACAAACAATCTCACACATATCTCTAATTCATTGGATCAAATCTATCTCCTCAAGAACTTCCCGTTTACTGTCAAACAACTGCAGTGATAGAATTGAGTTCTCCATTCAACAATATAAAGTAGTTTCAACCATGTTCTACCATCCATCTATTAATAGAGTACCGCATGTAAGTAATGTTTATTTTATTTATTTATTTGCTCATTTATTAATTTATTACAATCGAAGAGACTATTTTATAACAAATTGTGGGCCTTACCTTGTCTGTTTAACTTTTTAAAAATTTTATACCTTTTTATTCAACTACTCATTTAAATAAAACCACAGACATGTAATATTGGCATAATTATTGTAATTTACAACACCTACTTTGTTTATCGTTATTAGACAACACCCTAATATGGGTTTTTATTATTTCAGCATTTGTTTAACTTTGTATCGAGACCTGAGGATGCTTTGCATATTGTAGAAAGCGAAACCGGTCGTCTGATAGTTAAATTAAATTGATTGTGAGTAAGTCCTTATATATTATTTCTTTACCTATTTGAAATGGACTCACACAAGCAACACATTCATGATCTTTATATTAGTAAACTAAGTATTAGTTTTTGTGGTAGGCACAATATTTTTTTCCCTCGTCAATTTATTAGTACAAAATATTTAGTATTTTTTTTACTTCTAGGTGATTTACCCCAGCTTCATATAAGTTATAAGCCTCAAAAGATCAGTCCTAAATCTACAGGATTGGTGAGACAGTTGCTTCATGAGAAGATTAGGGATGCCTATATTCATCCACAGGTAAGCTGCAATATTTAATCAGTAACATTGATATCGTTAAGTTAAGTTATTGTTAAAATACATGTATATAGCATATTTTTAAAAAATTTCCACTATCTGTACTCCATATGAAACATTTCAAAACACTGTGGTTTTAGCAGACATTGAGCCAAAATAATTTAAAATTAGATATATTTTTTACAAGCTTGTGATTGAGATTTTAAATACTCAACAGTATTTTTGTTTTTTCCTAGTTTATAGCAGATGTAATGAAGCCTTTGAAGATAGAAGACATCATCGATCAGGAAGTACAGAATTTATCTGGAGGAGAATTGCAGAGAGTTGCAATGACACTTTGTCTTGGAAAACCCGCCGATGTGTACCTTGTTGATGAACCTAGTGCCTATTTGGATTCTGAACAACGTTTAGTAGCAGCTAAGGTCATAAAACGGTAAGAAAAAAGCTGTATAATGTATGTTTTTTAATTTTGTAACCTTTGGAGTGGTTTTTCGTTTGTTTGTTGTTAGATTGTTAGTTGCAATATTTAATTCCAAGTAGTCAATTTTTCCTCCCACTTATGTTTTCTCATGGACTCTTGGGTTTATCGTCCTTTATTTTAGTGATCTTTCATTTATATACACAGCAAATATCAATTATGTATCCATTTTACCGAGATTGGTTTCGTTAATCATGGACGCAAGTCACTTTTGAATAGGAGATATCACTAATTAACACGATCATCACTTCTTTTTCCTTGGGGATTGTTGGGTGTCAAATTTATCTATATAAAGCCCCACGTTGAGTACCATTTTGTGTATAGAAAGCTTTACATATTGGGCGTCATTATTGTATAATGTAATTTTTATTTACGGACTTGCTATTTTTTACAAATCAACGTAAATTTAGATTAAAACTATTAAAGCACAATGTGATTACATAAAAAGGTATTTTCGATCTTATTCTTAATAGTACTTAGTGATAAATGAAAAAAATCATTACTATTAAATTGGTTTGCATTTCTACACATTGTCTGTAAGGGTTTACTTACAGTATAAGTTCGATTATGAAATTCTAAATAAAATAAGTCTTGAGATCTGGTGTCTACAGGGAGTACGAAAATAAACCTTTTCCAAAAGAGCACTAGCATCAATGCTTCCTCGTATTAATTAATATATAAATTCTACATCTAGCAATAATCGCCCTTTTTCATTTATAGGCAATTTAAGTAGATTGCAAAACAATGTATTCAATTATTTACAGGTATTCTCAATTTAAAAGCAATAAATCTTAGGAACCTTTTCTGTACTCTTTCTAATAGATCTTTGTAGCATTTATAATGAGGAGACCAAATATTGGTACCATATTCCAAAACCGATCTAATAAGAGAACAGTAGATATTTTTGAAACAATAAATATTATAAAATTCAGAGAGGCTATGTTTCATAAAAACTAAAATTTTCATGAATCTATTAGAAACGTAAGAAAAGTGGTCCCTGAAGCTTACTGCAGGGTCAAACATTACCCCAAGATCCTTAAATGTTGTGATTACCTCTAAAATATTCGGTCCAATATGGTATTCAAATGAAATCGGATATTTGTTTCTAAAAAATCGCATTACCTTACATTTATTTATGTTCAAATTCAAAGCATTTAAGTTACACCAATCCAATAATATTCTGTAATAACTCCCAGACAGTTGCCCATCTTGGTAGTTAGTATTCGCCTCTGGTTGCGTTGAGTAACTGAGTTACCGTTGCTAACTACCCATCTTCCTGTCTTTTGTTTTCTTTTTCTTTTTTCTCCTGAAGAAGCTACATACAAATTGTAGCGAAACGTCGAGATGAACCCACTTTTGGGTCACTCACAAATGACACGGTCCAAACCCGGAAGACGAATAAACTATAATTCTGACTCTGGCCGTGGAAGCCTACGATTTCATTATAATACCTATTCACAAGAAAGGGATCCACTAATATGTGACAACTATCGAGGCATTACCTTCCTAAATACGGCTTACAAAGTACTGGCTTATATATTTATGTTCGTTTACTAGTATATACTGAAGAAAAAATAGGCAAATACCAATGTGGATTCCGAAAAGAAAGGTCAACAATTGATCAGATTTTTCTTCTCAGATAAACCTTAGAAAAGACATATAAATATGGAATTGATACCTATCACCTCTTCATAGATTTTAAAAGCGCTTATGACAGTGTAGACAGAAGCGAACTTTATAATGCCATTGCAGAACTAGATATTCCGTCGTATTTAATAACATTGGTAAAGGTAACTCTTTCGAAAGTTGAGTGCAAAGTCAATGTACAAAACAGAGTGTCAAGGTCTTTTCAAAAACATACTGGATTACGCCAGGGAGACAGAGACTAGAGAAAGAGCGATTCTTTTTCCTGTTGCCGACAAGAATGTAGAGCGTATTTGACTAAATGCCCCTGAAGATGCTGTAGAAAGCGAAAGTACTTGGGCAAGATTTGATTATTAAAATTGTGCTCGATATTTGCCTTTAATTTTTCAAAGTTTAAAAAAATTAATAAAATAATTAAAATACCCTACATACTTAGTTTTTCGACAGAATCGCTATAAGTAATCACTTTGAAATATTGTTTACAAGATAGCACTTTACATACCATATAAAAACACAAGGTTGACACAATACAACATATCAGACGCCTTCAAACTAAACGGAAATGTCAATTACAGAGACATCTATTGAAATTTATTCAAACTAGACAGTTTTAACAGCAAGAATACTACTTATAATGTACGCTAATATAAAAAAGTAAATGGTGCAAAGTTAGACCCCGTGGATCAAAGTTACCCCGAATGACCGCAGGTGGAATGAGTCCGCTAACTTAGGAGTAAATTCGCTATTTGGCCTACATTCGTCGGAACATTTGAATTACTCATTTAACTATTTTCCTCCATTGTCAATTTTTTTGTATATTTCATCATGAAACTATACTAAATTAGATTTTAAATGAATTTAATTATGTTTTTTATTTTTTTAGGTTTATACTCCACGCTAAGAAGACCGGTTTCGTAGTAGAGCACGATTTCATAATGGCAACCTACTTGGCCGATCGTGTCATCGTATTCGAAGGGTCTCCCTCGGTGAAGACAACTGCGCATGCCCCTCAAACGTTGTTGGCTGGCATGAACCGATTTTTGGAACTACTGGGCATCACTTTCAGACGCGATCCCAACAATTTCCGGCCTAGGATCAACAAGCTGGAGTCGGTGAAGGACGTGGAGCAGAAGAGAGCCGGGCAGTATTTCTTCTTGGAGGATTAATTCGTTTGTTTCGTATCCAGTTAGACAGGAAAACGTTCGTTATAATTATTAATTGTACGTGTCAATAATCGATTGCTGGCAAAGGATATTGAGCTCTTTTTACTACTTTATAAATTGTATCCCTTGAGTATAATTAAAACAACCATTTTTCACAGTTTTATTATTTCTGTAATCCTTGCGAACGAAACAAAGTGGTCAAATCAATTATATCAAAGGAACTTTTGTATATAACTTGACACTAGCAGACGACACAGTTATTATAGCCTAAACTATTAAACATTTGCCACAACTACCGAACGAATTTGCTCTCAACAGGTAAGTATTATATCTTACAAAACCACAAACAAGAAAGTATTCTTCTATGGAGATCTCCTTCTTCTTAAACATTTTTTTCTCTTCTGCTTAGGTTAAAGCTCAAGCCCCACTTGCATCTAGTACTGTTTTATAGATTTTGCCAATATACAATGCTATTTCCCTATAGTTTGAGCAATCTGTGTTTCCTTTTTTGTGTATTGGAATCAGCATTGCATGATACAGATTTTTTTAAATTTATTATGACACGATCTTTAGCAATCAAAACACAAATAAAGTTCTGTAAGCTAACTTGCTGGCTGCGGAGCAAGGGGCTAATATTGGCGTGGTGAGGTCTTCTCCAGTGACAAGACCACTTTAACCGTTTTTCAGGTCAGCTGCCAGTTACTTTTGAGTCTCCTATTGGCTCGGTGTTCTAGCAGAGGTTGGAATAAGAGGTTACTATTGATTCCAGTGCTTCATGGTGCTTCGTGCTGTATTTAGTGATTACATCCTGTACGAACGGGATTCTTAGGTCTTCATGAAGTGTTAGGTTTGACACATACCAAGGTGCATCAGCTATCGTTCGGAGTATTTTTGATTGGCATCTTTGAATTATGGCTGTGTTTGACTTGCTCGCACATCCCCAGAGTTGGATTCCATACGTCCAGATAGGTTTTATGACGGTTTTATATACAAGGATTTTGTTTTCAAGGCTGTTTCGATTTCCTGCCTACTAACCAGTTTAGCTGGTTAGTAGGTAGGAAGATGGATATTGTTAAGTGAAACTGGAGGACACGGGTCTCTTCTCAAGGTAAAAGTCACTTGGACTGATTTTGTTTCATTCATTTTAATTCTCCACTTGTAAGACCATGTCTCGATTTCATTTAGTGGTACCTGTAGAATATTAGATGCTATAATTGGATTTCCGTCAGCTGCTAGTAATGGTTTCATTAGTGGAGGGTAGATCTGCTGTGTGTAGTACATGTAATATTGGTCCAAGAACGCTGCCCTGTGGAATACCAGATTTTATAGGAAAATTATTGGAATTACTTTCATTCACTCTTGTTCGGAATTCTCTCATCACTCATATACGATTTTAACAGTTTCAGGTATGTGATGGGTAAATATTTCTTGATTTTGAAAATCAGGCCTGTGTGCCAAACCTTATCAAAGGCTTGACTAACATCTAGAAAAGCAGCTGTGCAGTAGTATTTGCTTTCCATTGCATAATTTATGGTATGTACTATTCTATGAACCTGCTGTATTGTTGAGTGTTTTTTTGAAAGCCAAATTGGTGGTTTAGTAACCATTCCTCCGTATTGGGGTCTGGATAGTTTTGGATACAACTGGTCATAAGCCTATTGGCCTATATGAAAGCTCGTTTGGATTTTTTCCTGCTTTTGGGATTAGTATTATTTCAGCGGTTTTAAAGAGCTTTGGCCAGTAGTTTAATCATAGAATAGCATTGAAGATGAGAGTAATCAGTATTATTCCTTTATCTGGTAGTTTCTTCATCATCTTGGGTGTTATTTTGTCCAGCCCAGGAGCTTTTCTAATGTCTAAATATTGGATTTCTTGTTGAACTTCATTTTTGGTTTGTGGTCTGATTACTGGTATGTTATCTGGAATGTTATTTATGTCCCATTCAAGATCTGGAGCGTCGTTGTTGGGAGTAAATACTTGAGCTAGGTGCTCGGCAAATAGCGTTGTTTTTTCTTTATCACTTCTGGCAATCGAACAAAAGATGTGTGTGTAGAGGGAAGGGATGGCCTTAGACATAGTCTATTAGCACTGAACAAAAAGATAAAAGAGGGAATCTAATCCTTATGAAAAGGAGACCAAAAAAGTGGCCTCTGATGGCGGACATATCCGGAAATGCGAATGCGCCAAATTTAAATTTTCCGCCACTTATTAACGGTGGCTATATAATATTTTTCAGAATGTGTCTTAGACGAGAAAGTTTTAATTAATTATTAACGATAATAGTCTAAAATGCGACATAAATTGTTAAAAAAATTCAATATAAATAAAATTTCATGTGACATTTGGGACAAACAATAACATAACCCAACTAAATTTGATGTCAAACAAGGAGAGAGACTCTCTTTCCTTGTTTAATGTGGCCTCTAAAGATCACACTTCCTGTCTAACAATATTTTTGCCCCTACTACCTTTACATTCCCTCTTTTATCTTTTTGCTCGATACTTCTGGCCCACTGTAGTGTTGGTACCTGTTCGTTTCTAATTGGAGGTACTGGAGTCTTGGGTTTTTCGAGTTTTTGATCGGTTTCCATATTGAGTTATCGTAACGGTTTAGATTTGTTATGTAGTTTGTAAATGACATTTCTTGTGCCTTTTTAAGTTTAGATTTTAGTTGATTGCTTGTCCTGTTTAATGAAGTCTTGTCTGCCGGGGCATTTAATTTCTAACTAGGATGTATTGGGCTTTGCTACTTGTATTGTTCGCAGGTGTAGTATTTTGTACGGCCTCTATAATAGTGTTGTTTAAAGCCGTTAATGTTTCGCCTATTTCTCTTGTTGTTTTGAGTCTTACTTGTAGACTAATATCTTCTCCTAATTTGCTGCGGTATTTTTCTCAGTGTCTAGTCTTGGTGTGGTCGTTTTGTAGACTATAAAGCTGCTGATGGTAGCTATAATTGGGGAGAGGTCAGATGAGAGATCATAGTTCGGCATGACCTCCATGTAACCAGGAGAGATGCCTGAGTGATAAATAGATCCAACAGATCAGGTGTTTTGTTTGTATCCGTTGGCCAGTATGTAGGAGAGCCTGTTGACAAAGGGTGATAGTTGTTTTCATGTATTAAGCTTATTAGTTCTCTGCCTTTAGTTGTTGTGAGACAAGATCCAAATAATATATGTTTACTGTTTAAGTCTCCCACTGCAATAAATTTATGCCCTAGAGTTTCGAAGAAGTTTTTGAAGTCTTATTTCTTCGGAGTGGACAGTAAACTGCTGCGACTTTTAGTTCGTAAGAGCTCATACTGACTTTGATAACTGTAGCTTGCAAGCAATTTTCAGCATACTTTGGTAGTTCTGCATGTTTAATAGTATTTTTTATCAGAATAGCTGATCCAGCGTGGGCTGTATTGTCTGGGTGGTTTGAAGAATAGGTTGTGTAGTGGGATATCTTGAAGTAAGTTTGACGTGTGAAATGGCTTTCACTTATTAACAGAATGTCAATTTCGTTGTGTAGCAGAAATAACTCAACCTCATTTTTGTGCTTTGGAAGTCCATTGGCATTCCACTCTACTATTTTAATGAATCTATTGAATTTTAGATATAAGCGCTGTCAGCATGTTTAGGACCATGCTGTTTTGTTGTAGCAATTGTTGGAACATGTTTTTGAATTCCTCTAAGAATTTATGTCATTAATGTTTGTTGTTCAGTACCATTTCTTACTGCATTAGCATAGCTGCCTTGCGATTTTTTTGGGTAATGGGTTAGAGGCACTGATGTTGCTGTACGCATTGTCTAGTTGTTGTATTGTTAGCGTTCTGTTGAATATTCATACGATTGTGGTATTGTTTGTCTTGAGTAAGTTATGATAGTTCCCTTTCTAGTCCACTTGATTTTCTTCTCAAAATTTGAGACAACGCTCGTTGTTCTGCTGTCGTTGTAAGAAACAATCTTCGCTTTTCATTTTTGTTTTTGTTCCATTTTGGACGTAAATTTGTCCAAGTAATAAATGAGACTATCCCAGCTCCGTCAAAAATATTCATAAAAAATGCAAAAGACCAACGGTTAGTTCGTCTTTTGCACATATGTTGATGAACCATTTGGTCTAGAGTATCGACACCGCATTTTGTACTATTATAATAGAGTACCATATCTGTTTTTTATCAACATCATCTGCACAGTAAGCATTGTGATGCATGGTAGACAGAACTAGACACTTATTTGTTTTTTCAGAACGTAAGAAACAAGAGATGCTTTTGGAGTGAATCCAAAAATTGAATATTTCTCTAAACGGTTCTTGTTAGGTAGAAATTCCCGAGGAACAAATCACTTATTTTTTTTCACTGTGCCCACAAGAGTTAGTGAATTTGCCAGTAATTCATGTGCAAGAGCAAGATCAGTGAAATAGTTATCGCAAGTCACATTCCTCTTGGAATTCTAATAAGGCTCAATGAGTTGCTTTACAACTTGAGATGCAAGACCTTTGGCTACTGTATTTCCGTTTTTTTTCCTGTATATGGTATTGCACGTTAAGCCCATCACATTTTCATGCCATACTTATCTGGCTTTTAAGGCATATACTACTTGAAAGGACACCCACCTCAATACGGAACAAGTTGCTCATCTACCGGTATGTTTTATCTGAGTAAATAGTATTTCGGAAACTTTGGTTGACTTGATTCCACGCATTGTGTATTGATGCTAATTTGTCGTTCCTTTTTCGTTCAGACCTTGTGTTCTTATCGTTAAATCGAACAAATTTTGGAATCATTTTAACCCCATGGTAGCTTTAAATATAGTAGGTCCATAAAACTGACTCCAAAGTATATCTACATTATGGATGTTGGTACTCAGGTGTCCTAGTAGTAGTCTAATAAAGGCATATAGCTCTCTAGAGTCGCAATATTTCCAGTTCTCTACCCCAGGATGTTTTCGGCTTCTTTATTTGTACACTTCATTATTTCGTCCACAAACAAATAAAATGAATCAACAGGATCATATACACTTTAACCAGGAGCTAACATTACTTTGTGCACTTTGCTTTTTATTATGTAGCAGGATCGCATACGTACTGTCGGTTGTGGTTGATTCTTCCAGTTAATTCCATCCTTAGTTTCAAAAAGTACACATTCTGAAATCTGGGAACTTGTAGCTACACATTATTCTTCATTATCACTCAATAATACTACTTGCTGATCATCCTCTTCATGATCTTCAGTTTCAGAGTTACTTTCAATGCCATCTACTTCAGAAGATTCTTCATAATCGGCATCCCATAAATTATTAGCAACATCTTGCACTTGTTCAGCTGATAATGGTTTTCGGGACATTTTATTTGTACTATCTACTTTCACTGTAATTCAATATACATTTAGGAGCTTAGTTGTCGACAATAACATCAATTTGTTAGCAGTTTATGATAAAAGAATTGGCGTCACGGGCTTGTAGGACCCATCTTGCTCGGATGAGGGTTAGTAGTAATCTTCTAGTAACTCTATTTACAATTTTATTCCATTTCTCAATATCAGTATTACAATAACTAACATACCAATAATTACATTTTATAGATCAATTTAACATGTTCCTGATTGTTTCTTATTCTTCAACTATTAATTGTATCTTTCTACCTTATAATATCGATAATACTGTCATAATTAATTGTTTACTTTAACTTATCCCAAAAAATTTTCCAATATAAAAATTTTACTGAATAAATTAAAATCAAAACAAATATAAAGTATTTATAAATATATGAATATATTACCAGAAATATAGGGGCAAATAAAAACAAGGTTAATATTGTTTATTTTATATTACTTTTAAAAACAAAGTAAATGAGTACATAGAAAAATTATAAAAAAAACTTACATCTAAAAAAATCAGTCTTACAAATAGGAATCATATCGAAAAATGAAAATGACACATTTAATCTACTTCTTCAATGGTTGGTCCACTTCCGTTTCCTTGTCCTCCATAATCACCAGCCGTTTGTCCTGCACAGCCACCAGGCATTCCTCCTCCGTACGGATTGTTGCTAGGACCTCCAGATTGATGCAATTTGGAGATAATAGGACTACATACTCTAGTCAATTCTTTCTGTTTATCTTCGAATTCGTCTTTTTCGGCTAAGCTGTTATTATCCAACCACTTCAAGCAACTATCACATTCTCGTTCAACAGTGGCTTTGTCTTCGGATGATAGCTTGTCTCCAGATTCTTGAGCAGCTTGTTTGAGTTGGAAAATGTAACTTTCAAGTTGATTTCTAGCCGAAACTTTTTGTCTTTGACGTTCATCTTCTTCTTTGTATTGTTCTGCTTCTGATAACATTCTGTCGATTTCTTGCTGTGAGAGGCGGCCTTTATCGTTCTTAATAGTGATGTTTCGGGATTTGCCTGAACTAGTGTCTTTTGCTGAAACGTTGAGGATACCATTAGCGTCTAAGTCGAAGGTGACTTCGATTTTTGGAACTCCACGAGGTGCAGGAGGAAGACCAGTGAGATCAAATGTTCCCAGACGGTTGTTATCTTTTGTCATTGCTCTCTCGCCTTCAAACACTTGAATGGTTACTGCAGGTTGATTGTCAGAATATGTAGTAAATGACTGAGTCTGCTTGCAAGGAATTCTGGAGTTTCTTTCGACAATTTTTGACATAACACCACCAGCTGTTTCGATACCTAGTGATAAGGGAGCAACATCAACTAACAAAACATCTTGGATTTTGGAATGTGTCTCTCCACTTAAAACAGCTGCTTGAACTGCGGCTCCATAGGCTACTGCTTCATCTGGGTTAATTGACAGGTTAAGAGTCTTTCCATTAAATAAGTTTTGTAGTAGTTGCTGGATCTTTGGAATTCTTGTAGAGCCTCCGACGAGAACAATGTCATGAATGTGCCCTTTATCAAGCTTAGCGTCATTCAGAGCCTTTTCTACAGGTTGTAACGTACCTCTGAATAAATCGGAGCATAATTCTTCAAATCTTGCTCTGCTGATTCTGGTATAAAAGTCGATACCTTCGTAAAGGGCGTCAATTTCAAGGGTGGCTTCAGTACTGGATGACAAAGTACGTTTTGCTCTTTCTGCTGCTGTTCTTAATCTTCTAATGGCTCTAGGATTACTTTTCAGATCTTTCTTGTATTTTCTCTTAAATTCATCAGCAAAATGATTGACTAACCTGTTGTCGAAGTCTTCACCACCAAGATGAGTGTCACCAGCAGTAGATTTCACTTCAAATAGGGACCCTTCGTCTATAGTGAGTATTGAGACGTCGAAAGTACCTCCACCCAAGTCGAAAATAAGTACATTCTTTTCACCTGTCAGATTCTTATCAAGACCATAAGCTAAGGCTGCTGCTGTTGGTTCATTAATGATTCTTAAAACGTTTAAACCAGCTATGGCACCTGCATCTTTGGTAGCTTGTCTTTGGGAATCATTGAAATAGGCTGGAACGGTGACGACAGCATCTGCTATTTTGGTACCCAAGTAGGCTTCTGCAGTTTCTTTCATTTTGGTAAGAACCATGGAACTGATCTCTTCTGGAGCGAAAGTTTTGAGTTCGCCCTTGAACTCTACTTGAATTTTGGGCTTGCCACCATCACTTATAACTTTAAACGGCCAATGTTGGATGTCTTGTTGGATTTTTGGATCGTCAAACTTTCTGCCGATGAGACGTTTGGCATCAAAAACTGTGTTGCTTGGATTCAGCGCCACTTGGTTCTTCGCGGCGTCCCCCAAGAGACGTTCTGTATCGGTGAAAGCAACATAGCTGGGTGTTGTTCTGTTGCCTTGGTCGTTGGCGATGATTTCTACTTTTCCATGCTGCCACACACCCACGCAGGAATACGTGGTGCCCAAATCGATACCAATTGCTGGAGATTTAACCATTTTTTGATGTAACTTCACACAATACTACTTTTTACTGCAATTAACTTTCAAAAAAACTGTCAAATAATTCACTTGACAACTTCAAATCACTTGTGTACTATTCGGCTTATTCGAATATTATGAAAACTCGCGCCAGTGCACTGCTTTTATATAAACGGCTAAATCGACTCGAATATTCTCGAAATAACAACGAACAGTTCCGAATTAGGGAGGGCGCATGAAGTATTATCTGGAACTTTCTAACGCTGTGGATCAATTGCACTCACTTTTTGAAACATTAAATATATTTTAAAATTATAACAAAAAATTACAGATATATTGTTGAAATTATATAATTATCATATTATAATTAAATATAAGACGTCTTGCAGAGTAAAAATTAACCAAAATTATCGCAATCATTGACGTCTTTATGGCATTTAAATAAAAAATAAATGAAAAATAAATGAATGAATTTATCCATCCAGATACTGACAGAGAATGTAGCGTAGAAGTAATTTTAAACTGTTTGCCCTCGTTTTAGTGTAGTGTTTTGTATAATTTATGTTATTTTTAATGTTTCCACATTCTAACGCTTGCCGGATAGTTCTTATTTTGACGAAATGCCCCTGAAGATGCTATTTAAGCGAAAGTACTTGGGCTAGATTTAATTAACTTGTGCTCGATAATAGCCTTATTTTCAAAGTTCATTTAAATAAAATATTTTCCATTGTTTGTTAATATTGTTTGTGGAATTATGTTAAAAACCGTTTAAATCAGTTAGTAGATTCAACAATTTTAATCTTCTTCTTCTTCCTTCAAATCCCGAATAGAAGAAATATAATTTAGTGGCTAATTATTAACAGCTTATAAAATAACATTTTTTTACATTTAAGTGGAGTCATTTCTGATTGCATCCAAGTTTGTAGTCGGTTTCAATCATCTTGTAACAAGGCTTGATCTCTTAAGCTATTAACGTTAGACATTTGCTATTTAGGAAACAGGAAGTGATGTCGTTAACGAAGATATTAAAAAGAAGTGTGGCCTCCTTGAGGAACTCCAGATGTTACTGATATACTGTCAGACAGATGACAACCTATCTTGACTCTTTGACTTCTACCAGATGTAGAGTTTTTGAATCTATTCAACAAACCTGACATGAAAGCCTACATTAATTAATTTGCCCAAAAGTATTTTGTGATTCTACAAAATCAAATGCTTTGGAAAAATCTGTGTATGTTGCGTTTACCTGTTTACGGTCTAGCATATGAGATAATATATCAGATTGATAGCAAACCAAGTTTGTTGCAGTGGATTTTTTGCTGTGAAAACCATGTTGTGATTGAGATATTAAGCCTTTACATAACCAAGAATGTTGCTTTGCTATAAGACAGTCGAAAAGCCTAGGGATTGAAGATTGTATACAAATGCTACGATAATTTTCAATGTTGTCTTTCTGACCAGTTTCAAATATAGGAACAACATAACTTTCTTTCCATGAAGAAGGAAACATAGAGGTTCCCAGAGGTCTATTAAACAATATAACAAATGGCATTACAAGGGTACAAACACACTTTTTTAATAAAAATTAGGAACTCTATCTGGGCCAGCAGTAAGCTTATTGTACAGCTCATTTATGCCATTAAAAATATCAGTCATGGTAATCTTAGAAGAAAAAATATTTGTACTAAAGCTGCTATTAAGAACGATTATTAACATAAATATAGTGAGCATATTTTTTCTTCAGAGACAGTCTTCTAAGATCAGCAGAGAACCACTTGAAAAAAGTTGAAGTTTTATATTTTTTCAATGCCAGAAAGTAAGCAATTCCTATAGAGAAAACTTCATAGAATAATTTTGTAGCAACATCAATATAACTAACCATACATATCTGTCAGTCTATGGAAGCAACGAAGTTGTTAAGCGCTATGTAATCGCCATTCCGAAACTCATAAAACAACTCATCATAAACCAACTTATTTCTATTTGTTTCTTTTACATTGAGGTTTAAGCAACATTTATAACCGACATGATGGATACTAGGATCTACAAGGAGATCACTTGCTTTTAAGGTATGTAGCTCCCTAACAATATTTGATTGGAAAACGTGTTTCTTAATTTTTAATTGTATTTTATCAGTTTTTCAGAGAGTAGTACTTCATTTTGCTCCATCAGATATTCTAGAAGTTCATTCACGTGACACAAAGCAGCTTCGTGAGATATTTATACTTCCGACGCAAAACTTTCTTCTTCTACATCACTTTCCACTTCGTTTTCATTTGGGTAATTTCTTAGAATGTTTTCATCCATTATACGCTCAAATTAAGGATCGGTATCGTCGCAACCTAACCTTGCAAGTTTCTTGCATCCATATGTTCCCCCCAGGAATGAGTTCAGTAAACTTGTAAGGTCAGCAGTTCATTTTCATCTTCTTCAGCTATAAGTCTTCAACTTCTTTACTATGCTAGTCTCTTTAGACTCCCACAAAGATGTAATTTTTAGTCTGTATTTCTGTAATTACAGTCCAGAATATTGAATGACTTGTAATATTGTAAGTCATATCCTTATTCAATATTTGAGCGAAGTAGCAGACCAAAGGAGTTCCACCTAGTTATGCCGGGTGGACTAAGTGTGTGACCCAAGTGTAATTGAATTAATTAAGCAGTATGTGGCCTGTATGCTTTTTTCTCAATTCTTTACACTTTTTTTGTTTGTCTGTTAATTTGTTCTTCTTAAAATGTGGTGCCTCATAATTCCTTTCTCGAATTTCATTACTGTCAAACACCTGAAAAGCTTTAAGAAAATTTGATGCGTTGTCTGTTACAGTAGCTACAATTTTTTCAGAAGTTCTGGTGTAATCTTATTGCTCTAGTGACATTTCATTTCCAACAAGCCCCTTTTTTCGTTGACCAAATGTCTGTGGTAGTCTGGTAGTACACAAAAAAGTTTGATACGAAATTCATTTTTTTTATCGTTTATATTGTTGCGTTTTTAAATAAAATGAGCGGTTCTCTTTTATATAAATATATTTATTTAGTTCACAGCACGATAATATCTTGTCAACTAACTAACCTAATACCAGCCCAGCTTATATATACAAGTTGTTATGTACTAGAATAATCTAGAGTAGTCCATTTCTATTCTTCCCATCGTAAGGGCATCGAAGTCAGGGGTTATTGAGAATGCCAACAATTATTGAATATTCTAGATTCATACTTCTAATAATCATCTGAGATGAGCTATTTCGTTACAGTATGTTCAATATACAGTTTGTGCTTTTCATATGCACAAAAATCTCATTCTCCTACATTCTATACACGTCTATTATCCCCTGATAAAATGTAAAGTATGACTTGCTTGTTGCATGAGTAAAAACTAAAGTTAGTATATAGCTTAGATAATAGAATGATATAAACAAAGCATTATACCAATAAACTATAAGATCAGTTGCCGTGACAAATCCTCAGATTTCATTCTTCTCTTCGATTGCGAGCTTTAAATGGAATTTGATAAAAATTAATACTTAAAACCATACTACTATGTGCAGTTTATATGTTACCTATGGCTACGTGCTGCTCGGAAGTTAGCAGCAATAGAAAGTGTCAATTATCTAGACAGATAAACCAAATAATGGAAATTTTATCTCCAATGTTAGTAAACAACCATTATTATAATCATAGAAAATGTTTACCGTAATTTAGAATTAATAGAACCAATTTTATTATCTAGACACTAATTTTGTTTGAATTACCAAATTTGAACAGTGCTGTTAAAAAAATATAAAAATCTATTTTTAGAATTATCACAGAACAAAAATGTTTGTGTTGTTTTGAACGAAAGTAATTCGTTGGAATGTAGCTAAGTTAGCTTTAAGTTCAAATTTACTTTTTTTTGTCGAGTTGCCGTCTGGAATGGCTGATTTACAACTGCCAAATTATATAAACAAGTGAAATTTGGCTTTGAGGTATACACCCGAAGGTGAAATTTATGATAAAGCCATCTTTGCTGATCAATGGAAACCAATTCAACCAACAACAAAATTAGTTCACGTTTGGGACCAATTGAAGCGGCTATATCTAGAAAGACGTAAAATAACCGCCAAAAAATATGAAGACCTTCAGTCAATCAAGAAGACATTGTCGGTAGACTATCACAAATTTTATGAAAACTTTCCCTATGAGTAGCGTTATTATTGTTTTTATCTTTTTTGTATTTACAATAATAAAGTTTCGTTGCGTATAGAATACGCGTGTTTGTTTGCATTTAACTGCCAAGTCCATTATTAGACTAATTTGAAAAACTGATAACTAGCTATCTCCCAAAAAATACTAAGAACTAAAATTATGAGTATAATAGTACAGTCACTAAAGATTTTCACTCCGATTTCGTTGAACCTCCATTGATTTTCATGAAAATTGGTGAGTAATTAAAGGATCCCTTAAGAAAGAAAAGTGACATGATGTCAACTTGCGCTTTTACCCTCGGGCTCGGGGGGTGAAAATTATTTTATTAAAAATAACCCCAGGTATCGATATAGGGATCAAATCTAAACAAAATTTATCTTATAAATTTATTAAAATAAATCAATATTTTTTGAGTTATTGAAGATAAAAGATTTTGATATTTCGTGAAAAAAATGCATGTTTTAAAGCGGTTTTTCATAAATAACTCAAAAACTATAAGTTTTTATAAAAAAGTTGTCATTACCAAAATTAAAGCTAATAAAAATTGAATAAATTCCTTGCTTGAAAAATCTTTTAATATTAATTCAAAGTGAGTTATAGGTAATTAAATGTATTTTTTTTTCGGCGAGTACTCAAATCTGAACATTCAAGCTTAAATAACGGGCAAACAATGCGTTTTATAAAATATACTTATCAAACAATTTTTAAAGTACTCAGAAATAGAGGATTTCATAAATTTCATTTTATTTAGAGAATAACTCAGATTTTCTTATCATTACTGACTCTTTATCTGTTCTTCAGAGCTTAAGGCAAATATATCCAGTACATGCTATCCTGCAACAAATACAATTAGCACTTTATCACCTACAAAACAGACACGTGAACGTTACATTTTCTCTGAGTACCATCACATACAGGTATCGCAGGGAATGAAAAAGCAGATGAATTAGCAAAGAAAGCTGCTACTGACGAGCAAACTGAAATTATGACAATTCCATTCAGTGATATCCAGCTCAATATTAAACAGCACTGTGTAAAAAATTGGCAACAAATGTGGAATTCTAATAAGGCTAACCTTAAAAACGTGAAAACTAGGATTGGCACTAAACTACAATTTCCAGAAAACAGAAGGCAACAAGTGATTATAAACCGTTAACTCACCAGCATCTCATAACAAAAGAACTATCACCTGAATGTTCCTATTGTGAATGTCCAATAACTGTTTAACATATATTGATTGAATGTCCTCTTTATTCCTACAAAAGAGCCATCAACAACGTACCAGAAGAAGCAAAAAAACTTAAAGATATTTTAAACAGTAATATATTAAATACAATCAAATTCCTTAAGGACATACGTTTACTACACAAAATTTAAGTTATATTATATAGATCTTTTTGTAATTTGTAATTTATTATTTGTAATTTAATACGCAATTTGTAATTAGTATATTTAATAACAACTGTAAAATCTGTAAAACCCGCTAATAACCTTTAATGGTTGATGCGGAAATTCTAAATACAAAAAAAACTCAATATATACTCAATATACTTAAAAAATGATACAAAAGAAAATTTGAGGTTTTTTTTAACAAAGATTTTCCTTGTTTTATATTTTTGTAGGATAAAAAATAACTGGGATAAAATCGTTTAAAACCTAAATTTTACTGCGAGAACCATGTAACCGGGGTCCTTTAACATTTTATCTTTTCAAAAATAGATTAAATTTAATACGATTTTATAGCCCTTGAAATTACCTTTCAAATGGTTTTTGAATGAACCTGATATCATAAAAATTAACGGAGTTATTGTAAAAAAATCCATAACATTTTTTTAGAAAAATTTTTGGAGTAGAGATTTTGTATATGTATATGTATAGGAAAACAGATAGAAGATACAGTAAGAAGTAGACATATCGATAGGTTTAATGCTCACGAAACATACATGGGTGTATGTATATTTTGAAGATAGAAGAAGCTAGTGAAAGGAATTTTGTATATCTGCTCAAAAACATAGTGGATTGAATATTTCAGTTCAACAGATATAGCAGAAACGTTCAAGGTCACTTCATCGATAAAGGGAGGGACCAAAACTCAGTTATATGCAAGCGGCCGAAGCGTAAACATCCATATATTTATCATTGAACATAAATTCTACCGCGTTTGCTACGTTGTCGGATAACAAAATGTTAACTCCGTGATATATTCTTCAAAAAGCTTAGAAATAAATTATCCATGCAGAAGAGTATATATTCTATTCTCTCATTGTTTCTCTGGATGTGATTCGACTTCTGCTTTTTTATAATAAAGGGAAGAAAAAAATTATCGATCTTCTAGACAAAAGACCTGATTTGAGAGACAGGATCGACATATTTTATAATAAAGCCGCTGATATCGATGCCACTTTAGAAGCTGGTAGGTACTGCACAATATTATTGTACGGAAGTGCAAAAGATGTGCGCGTGACCTATCATGCGTATATTAAGGCTACCACTAAATATAGTGCAGTAAAGTTTTCATCTCTGGTCCCAACAGTTGTTGCATTTAATGAACACACCAAAAGAGCTTATTTACAAACCCAGATATGGCTTGGAAACAAAGACATACGTCCAGTTAACTGGGGATGGTGCAAAATTGAAGAGTCTTTGTTTCCAACTAAAAATCCCAATCCACCTGCTCTAATAGCTCAATCACATAAGCACTAAAAAAATTGTTCAGAAAATGTGAAAAGATTAATATTAATACAGTTTGAAATATATTAATAAAGTTTATCATAACCAATAAAAATAATTTAATACTCAGTAAATGAGATTTCAATTCAGTAATGTATTATTCAAATAATTAAAGTTTGTTGAAATTAATTTTTTCAATGATTCTACTTTAAGGGGGTGGTTTTTAAGGGTTGAAATTTGACAGTAATCAAAAATTATATCATAAACATTAAAGAAACTATTTGGGTATTTTAATATGCGATTTGGTATTTCAGAAATACAAAAAATTATTTTTTCATAATTTTCGATTTAAGGGATAGTTGCTAAAAGGGTTGAAAAATTAATTAGAATAATAAATCATGCTTATAAATGTTGCAAAATATTTATTTTATTTAATTAATCGATATTACTTATGCCAGAATGCTTAAATCTGCATTTTTTACCATTTTTAACAAAAGGGGTGGATTTTACCTCTAAAATGCAATAAGCGCAAGTTGAGCATGTCACTTTTGAAGTTGAAGGTAAAATATACTCAATCCCAAATTTTCATGCAAATTGATGGAGGTTCACCGAAATCGGAGGTAATAGTTGATTTTTACATTCATTCACTGTACTATAATTTTTTAAAATATCAATGATAGATCAATTATACTATTTATTGTTTTCTATTCATTTTTATAAACAGAAATGCTGCGAAATCGTTTGCCTCTCCTGTAAAATTGGGTAAAATGGATTTAGCAGGTTAACACTTTAAGGAGACGATATACCTAATACTTTATACTTATGAGCGAATAAAGTTCATCCAGTTGTAATTTATTTCAGTGAATTTTTTTCAAATACATTAATCTTTTTTTTTATTTTTTAAATTGCACCTCACCGGTTAAGGATTAAACAATCAGTCGATTTAACAAATGAATTATTTTTAATAATTCAAACACCTATAACACCTATATAGTCGCTACACTGAGACAGGCCAATAAAATGATAATAAAAAACGCCCAATCTCAACAAATTGTTGTACCTATGACATGACCTCGACATTGATAATTTTTTACATCGGTATTTTTAGAGACTGGATTAAATAAAAAACGCTTCCAAAATCCAACCTCTATATAGAATATCGAACATGGACGATGTATGCCGCAGAAAACTAGACCTTAAGCAAACATTGAATACGACGAAAACCGGCAATTCGTGTGGCGTTCATATCGATACATAGGCGTAGACCGTTTGTACGTTCTCTAGTGAATGAAAACCAGCAGGAAAGTAGAGTTTCTTTAGCAGTTGTCGTATCGAAGTAGTGGGTGTGACTAAAATTTAATTCCTCTCAAGTAAGTAACTTTTATCGTACTATTATCACATTTTCTTATCAACACAATCAAAATAATCAATCATAAACGCCGCTAACACAGTTATTTTAAGTAAATTTTGACCAGGTGCGGAAATATATAGTATAGGGGCAGCTGCCCTTCGTGGTACTATTGATTTTTGAAACCGCTTTTAACGTGCTTTTAATTAATTTATAAAACGGGGAGAATTGGTTAATAGGGCAGTTTGTATTTGTTTGCCGAAGACTCGAAGAGTTATATTTAGAAATATCTTATAAATAGAATGCCGGCTGGTGTGATCTGTGAAATTTCTAAAATCTAGAAGAATGTGTAAGTTACTTTATCTAAATCACCCATTATAAAATATTTTATTTGTAGTGAGTAAGAGATTAGGGAGGGAGGTGGGAATTTAATAGGTATGAATCAAGATTTGCTGTATTACAAAATTCTTCGTAAATAATATTATTCACTATTACCTGGGTGTATACTGTAAGCATTATTTAAATCTATGATGTCATTCGCGGTGTTTTGAGAGGTCTCATTCACATTGACTATAACTATAACTACATTCTTCATGGTCTACGAGTCAGTTGATCAATAGTTCTCTATAGTACCTGTTCTTATTTATTTTAATTTGATACCATTTAGTGATATTTGATTTTTTACTTTCTAGTCACAAGTAACTGAAGCAAACATGAGCAACCAGCAGTATTATCCTTTCAAAGTAAGTTTTTAAATATTTTTTAAATTTTTTCTTCATTAATTGATAATATTTAAGTGTTTTACCTATTTTAATAACAGTAAAAGTGTCTTAAATGTTTTTTTATATTTTATCGATTAGTAAAAAGAAGTACAAATTGCTTCCTTCAACAAAGAATTTTATTTTTATTTCGATTGTTTTTTTGACGATTTGCACACTGTGTAAAAATTTATAAATTTAATTTAGTATAGTGAGTTCTTTTAAAATTTTGTATTTGACTTATTATACGGGGTTAATCGAAAGGTGTTTTTTTATCCTAATTTTGAAACATCCTGTGGAATAATTCCGTTAGCGAATTTTCGTAAAACTTTATTTTTAAGCCACCATGTCTTTTGAGAATTATGTTTTTTGTTTCATGTGACACCCTTACTCTACGACTTTTACTATTATTACCATTATCTTTTGTATTAATTTGTAATACGACGATGGGGGATTTAGTGACTGATATCGAAGGAATGTCATATCGACATCCCAGAAGCACTGTATTTAAATAATGATTAAAAGTAACGTGACAACTCTGCTCCATGCTTTAACTCCGATGGATTTTAGATCATCCTCTATGTTATCTTAATACCTAAGTTTTTCCTTAGAATTTTTCTCTCGAAACGTTTAAGCAATTCTTGGTCGTTCTTAAGTGACCACGTTTCTGACCTTATTAATGTTTTATATATGGTAACTTTTTTTTTGGGTAGTTTTGGGGTCATCTGCTTCCTCAATTCATAATAGCACTTGTTGGCAAGCACTATTCTTCTTTTAATTTCTTTGCTGTCATTGTTGTCTTTGGTGTTCAAATATAAGCCGCCGTGCCCCCTAAGACTTGCGAAGCAAACAGCTTGATGAATGCATCGGCAAGGGAGTCTAAAAATTTGCCAGGTAGAAATCGTATGATTTCTCTTTTTGTTCTTAGATGGCGTAGTTACGTCCGTAAATAGTTATTTTTAATAACTATAATCTACGACGGGAAAATATTTTGGTTTGATATGGAGTAGTAACTATACCGTACTGAGGAGATCTAAAGAGATCGAAATACGTATATGCGGCTTGTTGCTGCTCTGTATCAAATCAAAATCTAATACCGTCATTTTATTTTTTTTTTAAAATTTATAAATTTATACACATTGTGCTAAAAAAAATCATCAAAGTAGCGCTAAAAGTAAAAAAATTGAAATACTTTGAATTTGACCAAAATTGTATATGTTTTTAGTTTTCATTGATAGGTTTTTAAAGCCTTCCTGGGGATGTTTTTGATTCAATACTTTCCGTCACTTGTCAGCCGGTAGACTTAGCCGGTCAGAAGGTAAACCATCTTGGAACATAATTCTACTGTATAATCGACAATTTTTTGGGCTTCTTCTCTTCTTAACGTGCCCTATCAAGTCCCCTTGACGTTGGCGATTAACATGGCGAAACTGTCTCTGTCTCGAGCTATTCTAAATAGTTGCTCAGCTTTCTTTATTCCTGGGCTATTCTTTATTTCCTATTTTTTTGGGCAGCCTCCATTATTATAAAATAAATTTTTCAGCAGGGACTGTTTGAGGGGAAAATTTACTGAAAATATCCTGTAGAACGATGTTGTATTTTAAGTTCAAATAATTTGTCTTTTGTTGATAAATATTAGATGAAAACTCTGCAGACTTCTGTATCAGCTTCTTGATCACTAGTAAGTGGTCGTTAGTGTTGTATCTCGATCTAAATTCAGCTTGTTCTCTAGGTTGATACAAGTCTAATTTAGCGTCCAGTCTTTTTTTAATAAATTTTATGAAAAGTTTACATATGTGTGAAAGCAAACTGATAGGAAGGTAGATTTTTAGATCTGTTATGTCTCCTTGCTTGAGTAATAAAATGCATTGTTCCATTGAGAAGTTTTCCTTGGTGCATGCATTCGGTGAAAAGCTTGGCCAAAGCCTGGATTTGGCCAAGCCAAGCATACTCCTTCATCGCCAGGGGATTTGTTATTTTTCATTTCTAAAGGTGCCGTTTTGATTTCGTATGGAGTTATTTCTGGCATTAATTCGGATTCCTGATTTGTGATTTTGGGCACAATATGACTATATCTTCCTTTTATTTGTAGTGATTATTCTTATAATTCTTCTTCTTTAAGTTCCATCTTCTATCCAAGGTTGGAAATCATCATGGCTATGCGGACTCTGTTGACTGCCGCTTTAAAAAGTTCTGCACTACTGCATACAAACCATTCCCTTAAGTTCTTAAGCCAGGATATTCTTCCTCTTCCCACATTTCGCGTTCCTCGGATTTTGCCCTGCTAATAAGTTGTAATAATGTGTATTTTTGCCCTCTCATCACATGTCCCAAGTACTCAAGTTTTCGTCTTTTAATAGTTAATATTATTTCCGCCTCATTTTATATACTTCTAGTTACTTCCATGTTTGACATTCTTTGAATCCATGATATTCGTAGGATTCTTCTGTAACACCAAAATTCAAAGGCGGCCAACTTATTCAGATAAACTTGTTTTAGTGTCCAAACTTCCAAACCATAAAGAAGAGTAGAGAACACGTAACATCGAAGCATTTTCAGGCGTAGTTCTAACCTTATATCCCGACAACAAAGAAACTTTTTAAGTTTAATAAATGATGTACGTGCTATTTCAATACGTGTCTTAATTTCTTTGGTTTGGTCTACATCTGATGTTATCCATGTTCCTAAGTATTTATAGCATTATAACATTCTCAATTGCAGTATCTTCAATAGTCAATTGGATATTTGCATGTGCAGATTTAGTCATGATTATGCATTTAGTTTTCTTTAAATTTATCTTCAGTCCGTACTCATCACAGCGTTCATTAAGGCGTTGCATTACGTTCTGTAAATCATTGTTGTTATCCGTAATTATTACTGTATCGTCTGCAAAACGTAAGTTATTCAAAACTTCTCCATTGATAGATATACCTTCTTTTGAGTCTGAGAGCGCTTCTTGAAATACCGCTTCACTGTAGACATTGAAAAGTAGTGGGGACAGTACGCAACCCTGGCGGACTCCTCTCTGTATTTTGATATTTTCAGTGTACTGTCTGTCAACTCTTACCTTGGCAGTTTGATTCCAATATAAATTAGATATAATTTTCAGATCACGACTGTCAATATTTTTGCTTTTTAATATATCTACAAGCTTTTTATGTTGAACTTTATCAAATGCCTTTTCAAAGTCTACAAAACATAAGTACATATCCTGATTCATGTCCATGCATCTCTTAGCCAGCACATTCAAGCTGAACAAAGCATCTCTTGTACTCATACCATTTCTAAAGCCAAATTGTGTGTCCCTAATTTCATATTCAAGAGTTTTAACAATTCTGCTGTGAATTATTTTCAAAAATTATTTTTTTTTCAAAAATGTTTTAAGTGTGTGACTCAGTAAAGCTATTGTTCTGTTTCTTATAATTATTCTTATAATTATGGCTGCCCAATTCTTGACATATTATATATTTTTTTTCATATTGATATTCTTATTGCTATCTTAAAAAAATCTTTAATGGAAATCTTATAATCTTTTTAATGGAAATAAACCAGAATTTTAATTGAACATCCGCTATATTTGATATTATTCTCATTAAGCCATACAAATTCCACAAGAAAGTAGTTTCACAGCCACTTTATCTTTAGTAAATACACTCCGTTAAATACACTCCGTCATAAAAGAACGCTATTCAAATTATATTCTGACAAAAATATCTTCAGTTTTTGTAATTGTGTAATGTATTATCTACAATATTTTCAAACTTAAATTAATTGAACGATATTTTACATTAACAACAAACAATTATAAATTTTGTTTTGCATTAAACGTTGATAAATTCTAATTATCCATCGAATGGGCAGGCTATTAATAATGGTTCCATATCACCGTTATGGATGTTGCGAAATGAACATGATGCATCATCTAAAAATACGATTTTTTTCACTGAATAGTAATTTATCGGTAACAATTATTTGCATAGAGATTTTCTGTATGTGTTAATGGTTAATGCACTCGGAAACCTCCATTTTATGTGAAAAGTTCTATAAATAATTTGTTAGTCATAGTCTATTGATTATTTGCTTGTTGGATTTAGTTTTTTTATTAGCGGTAGGATACAAAATTTTTGGTTGTTTATTATATTTAGATTTGATCATAATTTACTGTACTTATATAGTTTTTCATAATTGAATCAATTATTTCTTAAAGAGATTAAAAAATGATTTTCAGTTCTATTAAGATGTTTTGGTTTTGGATTTCTTGGTCTTTCAGGAATTTATTATGTTGACTCTAGCTTATCTTTTAGTATCCACTGGATATAATAACCAACATTAGCCGTGAAAGTTTTAATTGTTTTTTGCTAAATATATTAGTATTAAAACATTAATATTGTTAAACATTTTGGAAAGGAAAATAAATGTAAAACGCATTAATTTTAATGAATAAACACCTCATGAACGTCTATGATGATACAAATTTTACGACCGTTTTATGACTTTGAGGCACATTTCGTGGTCTCAACAATTTGTGAACGGATTATAGTAGTCTTACTAAGTGGGACCGCAAGTCGGAACGTGAATGTCCAGGTTTAGCCAGGAAATTCTTCGTCGTCCTATGGATCTTTTACCCTTGATTTTACCTTGCATTATGAGCCTTAATATCTCATATTTGATGTGCTTTATGACCTCGCAGTCCTTTTGTAGCCTTCTTAACACTTCTACAGTTGCAACTCGTTGGGTCCATAGTATTTTCAAAATCCTTCTATAGCACCACATCTCAAATGATTCTGACTTCTTTATATTATCCACTTTTAGTGTCCAGCTTTCCATTCTATACAACAAAATGGAGAACACGTAGCATCTTACAGACGTCCATACTGTTCAAAACAACTGTTGTTTGTCTGGCTAGTCCAATGTCACAAACAGGGTACTTTTTTGCTTATTTCCCTGATCTAAAAGTAAAATGAGATATATCTGGTCCCGTACAA